AGGAGAAGGGATTGCGGCGTGGATGGCCATTCCTCCTGGCGGGGCGGGCGGGGCGGGCGGGGGAGGTGATTTCTCACTTTCTGTCCTGGCAAGCTGCACGCTCTATAGCAAAAATCTCTCTATAACATAAATAAATAAATACATAAATAAATAAATAAAAACAGTTTGAAGACAGAATTTTTGATGGAAGCATGACCTATTGAACATGAAACTTCTATTCTCTTCAAACGCAACTTGGACAAAATCGCAGCTCTTTCATAAACTTTAGGATCTTTTCATTCCATGTCTAAATCTCTTCACATCTCTCCCTGTCCCTTCCTCTTGGTCAGCCAATTACTTTGTACTCAGCCCTGGGTTAGATATAACATGGATATGACACGTAAAGTATATACAAGGGAACTTCAAACAGTTCATGGGGAAAATGGACTTGAAGTGCACATGTATTTTGGTGCAAAAATGTTTGAAATCGATGCATAATTTTTTTCATAATACTCATTTTCCATGATCCTTTAAGACCTATGTCTCCTCTACTCAAAAAATTGTCTTTAGTTACAAAACACTTAAAAGACAATTATGATTCCAGACTTTGTTTTCCACAGTGGTTTTTTTTTGTTGTTGAATTAATTAATTTATTTTACATTCATTCACTGACACAGCATACAAAATGCAATTTCCCATCCAGAATACACTGTATAGTGGCTAAATCATACATGTTATCGTCAACAAATAATTTTTTATTTCTTATTTCTTATAATGTATTTTTTTCCCTATTTCTCACCCTCTGTCATTTCCCACCCTCCTCCCACGCTGTCTCTGGTATCTGCAGTTGTTTTCCATTCCTTTCCCCCACACACACACTTTTTATTGATACATAGCTATGTATCACACCTGACTTTTGTTGACATGTAAGTGCAGATTTCATAGGCATCAATTAAATATAATGCCCAGGGTATAGATTTGTGCCTAATTAAAATTTCACATTAATTGAGGTTATTTTGCAATACTTTGTATAAAGTTATATTAGTGAAAAGTAATATTTCTCCCCCTTTTTGCTTTAGCAAATGTAGTTACTATTACTGACACCTGAAGATCTTACAGTGCTTTAGAGAGAGCACTTAAAAGTTTGTGATTTATGCAACAGAAAGAACTAAGAGATTGGTCTGAGCATGTATTTACTTATTCTGAACTTATTTCTGTGATTTAACTTGACATTTTCTTTGTATATGTGAAACAGCTAATTGGTTTCAGACTAATCAGTCTTTTTCTGTAAAAAAAACAATCATTTATACACACACACACACGGATATGAATGTTTATTTATTGAAACACATTGTTACATGATCAAACATAATTTCTATGAGAAGCTTATAAATTTTCATTAAAAATTAATCAAGGACTGGGGACCAGCAGTTAGCGTAATGGCTATGTAGCTGGACTCCCACGTAGTCGACTGTGGTTCGCTTTCCAGACCTGGTGGCTTAAAACTCACGCCGGGTGCATGTGCGTGTGTGCCCAAGATCCCGAGAGGAGAATGGAGGAGAAGGCATGGTGACATGGCCATCTCCCCTCGGGGGGTGATTTCTCACTTTCTGTCTCTCTGTCTCTCTCTGTCTGTCTGGTGAGCACACACGCCCTATAGCAAAAGCCTCTCCAAAATAATTAATCAAGGACTGACTCTGCAGGCCGGTTGTTAAGGCATCTGGATCACATATGGCTGACCATGTGGTTCGAGTTCCAGACCTGGAGACTTGAGAAACATTCCAGGCATGTGTGTGTTCATGCCCAAATTCCTAAAAGGAGGAAGAGAAGGGATTGTGTCATATCTATTTCCCATGGGGGATGCTTTCTCCTCTCCCTCTCTCTCTCTCTGTCTCTGTCTCTCTCTGGTGAGTACACATGCCCTCCAGAAAAAGAAAAAAAAAACTATTTGGGCCGTTATTTCACAAGTGAACTTTTTGTTTCTATTTATTTATAAAACATGAATCTGCTTCAGTGGTGGTGTTACAAGCAGTAGGGGCTACAGGAACACACCAGGCACATGTGCAGGCTCACTCATGATCCTGCCTGGCGCCAGGGATAAGGGAGGGATCACTATGTGAAGACCCTGTCCACAGGGTCTTCCCTCTGTTTCTCTCTTTTGAAATAAACAAACAAACCAATAAAAAAGGAAATCTTCCTGATTTTGGATACTTGCATTCAGTTATTTATATCTTTTGTGTTCCCACAACCTTTAGAGTTCCATTATGAAAAATTAGTGGAGTCTGAGAAGTTTGCAGTTTGGAGGGTTTAATTAGAGCTGTTTTGTTAAATGTTTTTATTTCTTTTATTAATTGATTTTATACAAGGTTTAAAAGGTTCGTTTCCCCTTTCATTTTCGTAGACTTACAGAATAATTTTTAATTGCCAGAGGGTGCATGCACTCCGCAAAAAGAGACAGAGAAACAAAGAGAGAGAGATGGAGAATGTACATTCTAATGGGGTGGGGTCATACCACAATCCCTCTTTTCCCATTTCTTCATCCTGTTGAGATCTGGGATACACATGCACACACACCTGGTATGTTTTTCAAGCTGCCAAGACTGAGATTTAAACCATAACCAGCCTAGTCGGATCTGGCTCTCTTACCCACTAAGCCCTACAAGGCCAACACAAAAAATAAATATTGGAAATCACTTTTATATTTTTATTATCAAGAAAAGGAAGGAATTTTTTAAGGTCTTTTTTCTTTATTTGTTTTTGAGAGAAAGACTGACTGTGTGTGTTAGAGTCCCACGTGGCCAACCACAGTTTGAGCCCAGGACTTGAGAATCATGCTGAGCACAAGTGTGTGTACCCCCAAAATCCCAGGGGGAAAATGGAGGAGAAGGGATTGCAGCGTGGCCATCTCCTGCCCTCCCCTCCACCTTTGTCTCTCTTTGGCAAGCATATGTGTGCTATGGCAAAAATAAAAAATAAAAAAAAAGATGAAAGAAAAGGCAAAATAGAGAAAAAGGGATTTTACCCACTCTATTCCCAATTAGGAGTCTCTAGACAGAAAAGACCAAGGATTTCTATATTAGTCACCTGAATACACATTGAATATTTATTTAATGTCAACATAAAGTTTGGTAGCAACATATTCCATTCTGCCAAGATGTTATTTACCCAAAAAGAGCTGCAGAAATTCTCAGCAAATATGTATCCAGTCTACTTTTCGCTAACACTTTAACATACTGAATATAGGGAGTGCTAACTGATGAATAATCCCTATGTAAATATTCAGTTGGGTTTTGTGATGAAACAAATCTTTGAAACATAGTCTACTGGGACCAGCAGTTGGCGTAATGGCTATGTTGCTGAACTCCCATGTAGTTGACAGGGGTTTGAGTCCTGGACCTGGTGGCTTAAACTCATGCCGGGTGCGTGTGCAAGCGGCCCCAAGATCCTGAGGGGAATGGAGGAGAAGGGATTGCAGCGTGGGCATCTCTCCTGGGGGGTGATTTCTCGCTTTCTGTCTTTCTGTTTCTCTCTGTCTTTCTGGCGAGCACACACACTCTGTAGCAAAAACCTCTCCAACAAAAATAAATAAATAATGAAAAAGAAGAAGAAAGAAACATTGTCTACAGAAATATAAAGTATTCACTCTAAATTTGGGGGTAAATTACTGGAATTTCATATTTCTTCCTAGCATCTTAGAAGAAACTAGAGATGTTTGTTTCAGCCATCTGGTACAGTTGATCTTTGCTTTGCATTTTTTGGTAATATTTCCTGTTTTCTCACTGTAGCATACTATCTGTTGTCTACCAATTAATTATTTCATAGAGTGGTTGCTATATTTAATTTAGTAAACTTGATCAATTCATTTATTTTAGTATAAACCTGTTGCTGCCCTCTGGAGTATATTACTGGTTAATGCAAATGTAAAAATGGAACTGTGTGTAAATGCATGTTGCTTCACTGTGAACAACCAAAAAAAAAAACCTAGAACTATTGTACAAAACATGTTCAGTTTATGAAAATGTTTAACACTTGTTTCTGTTTTTCATGATACTATAAGAAACTTTTTTTTATTTCAGCTATGCTTTTTAATTATTAGGTCACATACTTTCTCCCAATGGTTTGCAAATTAAGGATATAGTCTTAATTTCTCAGTCTAAACATTGATCTGATGCTATATGTGTGCTTTAACAGGGGGAGATTTAGTAGTAACCCCATGATAAATATTGCATGAACAAGAAACTTTAGAAAAATTGTGATAGATATACACAAGTAAATGAATGAAAAATCTGCTCCTTCTGTCTTGTTGTATTGTTTACACAATGTAACATGCCTAACTATTTGCTGAATTAAGTACTATTTCTTATCACCAAAAAAAATGAATTTACGCTTATTGAATTGGTTGTTCTACAGGGTATTTGAACTTTTAACTAATTTTCTTTTTCTTTTTTTTTCTCTCCCCAGAAAGGATGATGAACCCAATCTGTTAGTTTCCTCTTCTTGATTTTAAACTTTGGTTGCTTAAGACTGAAGCAATCATGGTGAGCCTGAGGAACTCGGTGCATTCTTTTCTGTAAGGACACTGTTACTTATACTTTAATTTTAAAAATAACTTTTTAATAGTAGCTTGCTCTAAGACATTAAATATGCTTCTATAGATGACCACTCAGCTATATTTATACCAATCTGCAAAAATGGCTGGCATCCCAAAAGACTAACATTGTAGTGCTCCTTACTTAAAATAATAAATACAGTGTGGGGGGGATTGGAACACTAATCAAACACTACAGCTCATGTACTACAGCTCATGTACTCAAACAAGTAATAGCTTACTAATACCCTTAATTCAAATAATCATAATAATCCCACTCTTTCTCCAAGCTTAGAAAGGAGAAAGTTTCTTTTCCTTCCTGCATGGGCTGAGCAGTGAAGAGAATAATGTACTTTCATATGCTTCTAGTTTTATGAAGAATAGTTGAGGTTGTGAAAGAAAAGGTCAGTGTTTAGAGGGTAGCGGTTGGGAGATGTATCTGGAAGAAGATTACAATGCCATCCTCAGAGATCTTGATGATAATGGCCCAATAGCTGAAGTCAATAGAATGTAGCATACAAGGGGGTTACTACGGCATCAGATTCAAGTACTAAGCGATCCTGAGTTTGACAGAATCCAGGTTTCTTGTTTTAATATACGTATATTTGCTAGAGGGCACGTGAGCCTGCTGGAGAAACAGAAAGAAAGCGAGTAATCAGCCCCCCCCGTGTGTGTGTGTGTGTGTGTGTGTGTGTGTGTGTGTGGCCACACCACAATCCCTTCTATGTTCTCCTCTCAGGATTTTGGGTATGCCCGCACACACACGCCCAGTGTATTTCAAGCCACCAGGTCCAGGACTCAAAGTGCAGTCAACCACATAGGAGTCCTGCTGCTCTCTAAACCTTCTTTTTAACATAGTGAAATGTTAAGTTGTTTCTTGCAAATTTACTCTTTGAGAAATGGGGCATGGAGAAAGAAATCCAAAGCTGTGTGAAATGATCAGTACAGTTGCAAAGCTCTGAATCTCTTTGCTTCTACACAGTCTCCTCTATGAATCATTAGAAGAGCTCACCCAGGAAAAACCTTACAGAGTGAGTTCACAGTGCACTGTGGATACAAAGTAACATTGGACCCTCTGCAGTAGGCATCAGTGTAGCCTGTTTTGCACATCCTTATAGCTGGGATAGATTCAATTATGAGTGACTCCAAGAGAACTAGAGCAAACAACAGAGAGAGAAAGGGTGAATGTAGTGACAAAGAAGGGGAAAGAAGAGTTAGGCGTGGGAAAATGAAAAGACTAATGTTCCTTCTCCATGGATCTGTGCCAACCCAGCAACTGGCCCATATACCAAAACAGAAGGATACTTTGAATGGAACCAAATTATTTGATTATGAAATTAGGAAATTCATATACAGTTTGTTCCAAACTATTGAGAGAAACAAGACACTGTTCATTTCTTCCTTTTTTAATTGATTAATTAATTTACTTTATAGAGGTTTTTGTCTTCAGGTACATGCCAGAAAGTGACGGACAGACAGTAAGAGGGAAAGTGAGAAATCACCCCCAAGAGGGATGGCCACACTGCAATTCCTTCTCTTCCACTGTGCCCCCACCCCCCAGGATCCTGGGCATGCATGAACACATGGCCAGTGTGATTTTCAAGCCACCAGGTCCGGGTCTTGAACTGTGGTCAGCCATGTAGGAGTCCAGCAACATAACCACTGCACCACCTGCTAGTCCCACTGTTCATCTCTTCTAACAACGCCTATGGCCATATGTCATGTAAAAACTCGGTAGATTTAAAATGTATTCAGCCTTTTAAATTAAATTATTATTTTGCTTAACGACTAAGAATGTAAAAGTGTATTTTCATAAAAACTTTATTAATAGCAAGTAAATTATTTGCATAGTTCAGAGAGGAAATTATGACTTTTTGTACATATTTTATGAGATTCCTTTGGGCTTAATAACAGCATAAGCTTTAAGAGTAAGACCTAAATTCCTCTTCTTTTGTAAAAGGACTTTATATATTTCACTGAGCATGTAAGTATTAAAATTTAGGTTTAATTATAATATAGTCAATTCTTGATTACAAAACTGTATAAAATAGGATTGAACTGCAATAAAAAGAAAACTTAGCCCTAAATGGTGCTCAATAACAATTTGTTAGGTTGAATTTAAATGAAACGAGGAAACTGAAATAAATATTTATCTAAGTTCTATCTCAATACCATTACCTTATTTTGTGATTTATCACAGATAAATTTATGGTCTACGAGACTCCTCAATAATTCGGTATTTGTTTCATGGACACTTCAATAAAAAAATAAATATTTCTGATCAGTAGAGATAGGGTAAGTTAACTACCTGAAGGCTTCTCCTATCCCTAAATTCTAAAATACTCATAAAATTTATAATTGATCATAGCCTTTTCATGTACATTTTTGTAACGTACCATTTTATCCTACACTTCTCCACAATGTTTAGAGACGTATGAAAGAATTTAGATATTTTCACAATTTACTTAAAAACTTATAAATTGAACTGCATATCATCTTAGGCCCTAACTCTCCAGGTTTCGGGATAGCATACTTGTAGTTCTGCAACCAATGACTGAAAATGCAGTTTATGGGCCAGCCAGTGGTGTGGTAGTTAAAGCGGTTGGATGGCATGTGGCCAACTGCATGGTTTGAGTCGCAAACACAGTGGCTTGAAAAACGCACTGTGTGCATGTGTGTGTATGTGTGTGTGTTTGTGTGTGTGTGTGTGTGTGTGTGTGTACCCAAAATCCCAAAAGGAGGGAGATGAGAAGGGACTGTGGTGTAACCATTCCCCCAAGAGAGAGTGCTTTCTCACTTTCCCAGTCTCTCACTCCCTCTTTGAGCACACAAGCCCTCTAGCAAAGAAAATAACAAAGAAAGAAAGAAAAAGAAAGAAAGAAGAAAGAAAGAAAGAAAGAAAGAAAGAAAGAAAGAAAGAAAGAAAGAAAGAAAGAAAGAAAGAAAGGAAGGAAGAAAGAAAGGAAGGAAGAAAGAAAGAAAAGAAAATGCAATTTATTATTTGAGATAAGATTTTGTGTGATTACTTGAGATGATAATTAGTTAATTTAAAACAGAAAATCTTGTTTTAAATGCCAGCAAGTGGAGCCAGGACATGATGTGATATTTGTTGTGGGAAGAGACTATAATCAAAATCCTACATAGAAAATGGGGGCTGGCAGGTGGCATGGTGATTAAGGGCACTGAACTCCCCACATGGTCAACTGTGGTTCAAGTCCTGGAACTGGTGGCTTGCTTGCTCTCTCTCTCTCTTTAACTCCCCCCACCTCTGGTCAAATTTAAATAAATAAATAAATAAAGTTAAATAAAATAATCTTTTTTTAAAAAAAATAGAAAACACAAGATGGAGGGGCAAGCAGGTGGCATGGTAGTTACGGTGCTAGAGTCCCACATGGCCAACTACAGTTCAACTCCCAGTCAACTCCCAGACCTGGTGGCTTTCATCTTCCCTCTCTGTCTCTCTCTGGCAAGCACATATGCCTTTTGTCAAAAACCTTAAAAAAAAATGCAAGCAAAACTAGTTTTTCATCAGCCGGGTCAGAAAACTCCCTGGAATAGACACTATATTTACTTTACAATCTGAGCATTGCTGTTTGATAGGTTATCATCTAGAAATAAAATTGTGACTAGGGCCAGGAGGCGATATAGTGTTTAAGGCACTGGCTAACTGTGTTTCCAGTCCCAGATCTGGCAGCTTGAAAATCACTCCAGACACATGTGCGTGCATGCCCAAAATTAAAGGAGGAGCATGGAGAAGGGATTGCAGCATGGCCATCCCCTGGGGGAGGTGGGGAGTGATTTCTTACTTTCCCTCTCTCTTTCTTCCTGTCTCTCTACAGAGAGCACATGTGCCCTGTGGCAAAAACCTTTTAAAACTATTTTAAATTGAGACTCAAATTCCTGGCACATTTTGAAATTCATACGTTGGGGTATAGCAATCATAAAATACTTTTCTTTAACTTTGAAAGCAGAAAGAAGGTAAACTCAACATTCTCTGAGGGCCTGCTGTGACACAAGTACTATTCTCAGGACTTTACATATGTTATTTCATTTAAGTTTCACAACCGTATGATAGAGATCATCCTTGTACAAATGAGGAAATTGATATTCTGACAGGTATTTTTTAAAGAATTATTTATTTATTTAATTCCATTCATTATTATTATTTCCCAATTTGATCAGACAGAAAGAGAGAGAAAGGGAAAGTGAGAAAGCAAGCCACCAAGTCCAGGACTTGAACCATAGTCGGCCGTATGGGAATCCAGTACCTTTATCCTCCACGCCATCTGCCTGCCCCGATATTTTGACAAGTGACTGGTCAAAAAAATCATTGAAGTCATATAACCAAGACATTGGCCCCTTGTCAAATATAACAAATATAACGATAATCAAAGCTAAAAGCAAATAACTTGCTTCTATCAATTTGGTCCTTTATATCAGTAATTTCTACTCATATTAATTCTGATATAGACTTTTGAATCACATAATACATTTGCTGAGTTTTTCATGTTCTAGGAAAACAATACATTTTAAAATTTTTATTGATCACTTCTCATTATTTTATTAAAAAATACTACGCATGTATCCAACTTAGAATATCAGGTAGCTCTGACTAAGGAGGAAGTTATTTCAGTCACGGCTTTTTGTTGTTGTTTATAGTTTTTGCTGTAGGAAGTGTGCCCTCACCAGAGAGAAACAGAGAGAGTGCACACAAAAGCAAGAAATTACCCCTCAGGGGGATGACCATACTACAATTCCTTCTCCAGTCTCTTCTTGGGATTTTGGGCATACACTCACTTGCACCTGGTGTGATTTTCAAGTTGCTTGGTCTGGGACTGGAACCACAGAGTCAGCCATGTGGAATCCAGTAACTTAACCTCCACATCACCTGCTGGCCCAGGAGGAAGTTATTTTAACCTAATATCTAAAGTATTATTATTTTTTAACTTTTGTAGAATTATGAAGTTAAATTTTCTATAATTTCTTCATTGTCTTTAAAGATATAGAGGCATATTAAGATATTAAGAGAAACTAAGAGAAATAATTTTAAACTTGCTAGAAAATTATTACAATATCTTGCCTTATGCTTAAATGATACCGATTTTTTTTTCAGTCTAAATGTTTTGATTTTAATTCCGAAAGTATGGTGCACATGTACATGTGTGCATATGTGTGATATTATGGATATGATATTATTATGATAATTATAATACTCTCGTTTTATTACTGCAAATTTCTCTGATAATCATAATGAGCAAAAGGTCAATTAAATCACACATAT